GTGGAACCCAGGCTGCTGCGGCGCTGGGGCCAAGTCTTCTGGGAGGGGGCAGCGTCCCAGTCCAGGCCTGCAGGGATGTGACTGGCCAAGACTGGGACTTGCAGCTTCTCCCAGGGCCGGGGGACGCAGCGAGCCCACGCAGAGGGTGGCAGGGAGGAGCACGGGGGCAGCTCTGAGGCACCGCAGCTGGCAGTGGGTCCAAGACACTGCAGGTAGGTGGAAATCCCTTCCCCAGGGCTGGGCTCACTCCTGGGGATGGCACCTGAGCGTTTGTGTCCACACACACGTGTGTGTGTGTCTGTGTGCACACGTGCGTGGCTCGACCTCATCCTTCAGGATGCTCCCACCCACCCAAGGGTGCAGGGAAGCCAGGAGCAGACCCACAGCACGGCCCAGACTGTACGAGGAGGAGCCAAAGGCACCGATGTGCTGCGGGGACGGCCAGACGACTGCCTCTCAGTGCCCAGGAGAGCTGCAAGGGCACCCATGCCACCACAAAGCCCTGGAAATGACCTCCTAGAGAGCTCAGAGCCTCCACGGGTGTTTTCACAGCCATGTCTACAGAAAGGTTGAACTAACAGTGTCTGTACACCCCCTGCTCACCCCAGAGAGCCAGCAGGGCACAAGGAAGGTGTTGCATAGAATCACAGAATCATTATGGTTGGAAAAGACCTCGAAGATCATCAAGTCCAACTGTCACCCCAACACCACCATGCCTGCTAAACTACGTCCCCAAGTGCCACATGTACACGTTTTTTGAACCCCACCAGGGATGGGGACTCCACCACTGCCCTGGGAAGCCTGGTCCAATGCTTTACAACTCTTTCAGGAAAGAAATTTCCCTAATATCCGATCTAAACCTCCCCTGACACACCTTGAGGCCGTTTCCTCTCATCCTGTCACTGGTTACTTGGGAGAAGAGACCAACCCCTGCCCTGCTACAATCTCCTTTCAAGTAGTTGTAGAGAGCGAGAAGGTCTCCCCTCAGCCTCCTCTTCTCCAGACTGAACAGCCCCAGCTCCCTCAGCTGCTCCTCAGCAGACTGGTTCTCCAGACCCCTCCCCAGCCTCGCTGCTCTTCTGCATCTGGGCAGCATCAGTACAACCTCTGTCCCGGGTCCACAAAGGCAAAGCTTACAGAGGTTTGCAGAAATATCAGGGTGCCCCTTCTGCCAGAGCCCTTCAGGACACCGGGGAGATGGGAGTTAACCGCAGCAGATTCCCTTCCACGGCACGCAGAGCCAGCAGACACGCGATCCCACCGCCTGCCCTGCGCGTATCTGATGGAGCTGCATCTGTCTCCTCGGATTTTCTCCAAGCGATTTGCTCAGGGAACAAGCTCCTCCTGGCATAAGATTTCATCTGCTCTGACTGCTGCTCTCCACCTGAAGCAGCAATAAATCCTCGCTGGGTGACATCAGAGCCAGCTGCTGAGCGCCAGAGTCGGCAGCAGGATTACAGGAAGAAGGATGAATGGGAGATATTAATGGAGCAGCTCCTCCCAGGGATGGGTTCTTCAGCCAAGGAGGGGCTCAATCCTGCTGCCTCGCTGACCCTCTCCCATCCCAGGGTACCAACACCAAGTCACTTTGTCTCCTGCCTCTGTGAAACCAAATCTCTTCACAGCAACTGGGAAGCAGGTGATTCGGGAGGGAGAAACATCTGGCTAACATAAGCATATGCCGGACCCAGGGTTTTTGGCCCACCACAGACTGACGTCTCCTGGGCAGGAGGTGGGACATCCCCCAGACCCGTGCACAGCTCCAAAGAGCTCAAGGAAACCCTCCGTTCATTGGGAACTTGACCGGGGCAGGGAAGAGAAACCTTGATGGATCCCAGTGCAGGTCCCTTGCCCCCGCTGCGAGCCGTCACCTCCCAATGACTGGACGGGGACAGCAGGCAGCGAGCTGGAAGAGAGCAGGAGCGCGTGCAGGCAGCTTATCTTCCACGCACCAGGACCTCTGTGTTTTGCAAACAGTTGTAGGGGAGAGCAAAACAGCCCCACGCATCGGCTGGGACGCAGGGGCAGACAGAGCCCAGCCAGGCAGGCATGGCCCTACCCACGACAACGGCACAGGGTCCCTACATGCTCCCTGGCTAAGGTGGGCTCCAGCCTCAGGGTCACATCGCTCAGTCCACAAAAATCACTGCTGCCTTCCAGGCAGTCACATGCAGCCAGAAAACTCACTGCTGGATTTTCCCTGAGGTTAGGCTGGGTCTGAAGAGGGAAAAAAACAATATGGCAGGATACCTGTCCCTGCCACAGCGGCACTGCAAAACCAGCCCAGCACAGCCAGCAGGGAGAAGGGAAGGAGGCAGGAGCTGGGCTGTGCTTGGAGAGGTCCATCCTGGCCCTGTTACGTGGCCTCTGTCCTGTCCCCAGCACACAGGCACTCCTGTGGCTCACTGGCACAGAAAGGCACCCACAAAAACACCCTGGGAGTTGGCAGCCCTCTCCCAGCCCAACAGATGAGCCCAAATCGCTTGACACGCTGCATCCCTTCCTGGAATGCTCAGAGGGCCCGGACAAAGCTGCTGGAGAAGATGGGGGAGCAGAGAGAGCATGGACCATCGCTGC